GCCCACAATGTCTGACGTCCCCACAATGCCTAAAGGTAAGAATATGTGTGTTACCTTCATGGACAGCAGCCTGGTCAGGTAAATCTCTGGGATGGCCTTGGCTCTCTCCCTCTCCCTCATACTGCTCTTTCTGTGTTTTGGGATTTCAGGATCTTCACTGCTCTTCACCAGGTGCCATAGACGGAGACCCTCCTCCTCCTCACCCTCCAGCATTGGCGTTTCTGCAGCCACCATAAAGAGACGGTCAGCCACCATGTTTTGGTGTAATACTTTTACACCAAAGTTTTATTTTTCATCTTTTTTGTGCTACATTAATTTTAATCTCTGGGAGTATTCGATTTTAGGGTTTTACATTATATTTTTAAATATTGAGATATTCTGTTAAGATGTGTTTCTTACTCTCTCCAGTTTGGAAGACCTGGTTGACTCCCACTCCACCTGAACTTTGAGAACGAGGGATGAGAGCGACCGTGGCGCCGTCGGGAACCTGAAGAACCAAAGAGCAGAGAACGATGTGAACAAGGAGATGGACAACTGGAAGGAGGAGCAGAGAAGGTGGTGGTGGTGGAACACGATTGGCCAGTTGTTTTCACCTTATAGTGCTGCAGTGTGTTGAGTCGTTTCCAACGACCTTGAACCACTGCTGTGACATCATCATCCGACAAGGTCAGATGACCTGCTTGGCCTGAACGCCACTCTATTGACAAAGAAACAGGTACATATGAGCTGCCAGTCTGGATCTACGGATATGATGACACTATGCATTCGCAGATCCACTAACCGAATATTTAAAACACCCACTAATGCTTCGGCCAATTTAATCTCCTACTTTCAGAAATCTCAAACAACAGATAGGTGAGACAGGTGTTTACCGAGGTCAAGACTGTCAGCTGATGGTCTCTGAGAGAATGGAGCTCCTCTGTAGACCTGATCCAGAATCTTATCTTTCACCTGAACACAAGCAGACAGCAAAGTGACAAAGGTATTTAGAAATCCCAGTGGAATTAAGAATATAGACGACTACTTCTATGAATCTGAAATTAAATGCTGCAGTGAAATTTTGTAGTGTAGTGCAACAGAAAGAACATGCCACCAGAGGGCACTTTTTATCGATGGATCGATGTAGCTGAGCTCAGTGAGCTGTGAAAAATAGCGAGACTGGGAGGGGCTTACATTGCAGAAGGTTAGAAAGGTGAGACAAAAGATGGCAATGCTAGACACCGCAAATGCCACTGGACCCTTCGGCAACCAGAAACAAGAAGGTGGGCATTTTCCCAAAGAGTAATTGCCTAAATGAAAACTCTAAAAGTAAGAAAACTAGTCAAAGGTGGCTAACTTTAGCAGTTACTAAGTGCAGGGGCTTTTCATTGCAAATGAACACACACAGTATTATTAGTATTATTAATATGACCAATACAGTTTAGATAAAATAACACTTTTTTTAAATCATCATTTAACACCTGTTTCGCCTTCCAGCTTGCACGTTTACAACATCAGGACTTCGGTTTTGACAGAGTACAGCTGCCCTCAGTTGCAGCTATATGGGTTGTAGCCACTTGTATTGATAGCTGCTTGCATGACCTAACAGTTGTACCTTGATGAAACATTAGTAATTATTAAATCATCTATTATTTCTTATGCAGCAGCATATGGTCGC